ACTTCTGCTGAACTGGTAAACAACCATATTATGGAAATTACGCAAAAGATATTCTCATTTGCAGAAAGCACACTGTTCTCAGCACCAGCAAACAAAAAAACACATGCACACCAACAATAAATGTGTGGTTTTTGATTCCATGCTTTATGTTTTTTAATCAGCAAAAAGATGTTCAAAAGGTGTATGATTTTCCTTAAAGTTTGCTACAAGAGCTATTCTCACATCATTTTGCTGAAGGGGTAGCACAGTTATTTTAAAATACAATTGTTTACAGTGTTTAAACCGTCACATTTTTAAACCATAGCCACTTCACTCTACTGCACCCCTTACCTAGAATTCATGAAACTTTCCTGAGATACAAATACTGCGGGGTACTATTTTACATCTGTGAACATTCTGAAGCAGAAGCCACAACTAGGAAGTCAGATACTACCTGAAAGAAAACCAAAACAGTAAAGAAAGATACAGCATAATTCACAAAAGCTGTAATAGAGTGGCAGTATGCTACATTAACTAGGTTTTTTTAAAACTTTCACAATTTAATAGCCAATAAATCAAGCTTTAGGTATTCAAAGATAGATTTATCTTAAGACCCTACTCTTATTTATTTATAGGTTCAGAACAGGTGAATTTCATTATTTACTAGCCCAGCCACTAACAACCTCTACTAGCTGAGCCATTATTAATATGTTATTTGTATTGTCTGAGCATTACAGCACCAAATATTCAATAAAATTATTCCAGCTTTTATTAAATAACCATTAAACAACCACCTATGCCATTTCCCACTCCAGTGTGGTTTTGTACTGAGAAAAGCAACTTATTACTGCCATTCTCAGTTCAAACAGCAAACACTTATAAATGTGATGACAATGTTAGTTACAGTATGCTGTAGATGTATGGAATAAGATTTTCTTATTTTTCTAAACCAAAAACTTAGGCATAAAGAGAGCTGCACAAACGGAGCAAAACTGACAAATTAAGTACTGAAATTAAGAAATTCACAAATTGAGGATGAAAACCTAAATGCCATCCTCTTTGGAATATGCATTATGTGGTCATGCAATTATTTCTATACTGCTTTTCTCTATAAACACCTGCCTCATTTATTACAGAGGATGGATTCCTTCGGGTATGATTCAGCATTCTGTCAGAGGGGCTCATCTTCACAACTCTTATCACACTCATTGCTGTAATTGTATGTCTCCCAACTTCTAAACGGGCAATTTCAAGGGAACAAAGGGCTCCTGATTAATGTACTTTAATACTGTTCTGGATTCTATTTCTGCTTTTGGCTAGGAGCACTTACATCACATGCAACAATTCACAAACTTTTCACAGGTTGACCCTACTTAAAAGGTAACTGATTTTTCATTAGGTCTTAATTATAGTACTTTATTTTGATGATTAAGTTAATTTCTTAATGTCTCAGCTCCTCATGTTAAAATAAATCATTTCCAAAAAAAGGTTTTGAGATTCTAAGAGCAAATGATGATAATTACAAGGGAGCTAGCAAACTACTGTCTTCAGACCAAGATTTGATTACCATATAGGAAAATGATAACATACAGGAAAATTATACACAACTACTGCCATCACTCCACGTTCACCCTAACAAAATCGTAAGGACAAGACCTGGCCAGAGTAGCAACTTTCCCCTCAACAGAAAGAGCAACTGTATCAGAAAACTTAATGAAATACCCTTGCTGCTCAAGGTGCAAGTTCACAACATAGACAAGATTAAGCACTCAGAGAGCTGAGTTCTAACAAGCTGACTAATGCATTTCAAAGATCAGGAATTCTGACAAACCTGTACAACTGGCCAGAAAACAGTCACTGAACCACAGTACAGTTCTGAGTATGGAGAGTTGTCTCCTCTCAGCCTGACACTCTTGGTGAGCATTTAGTAACAAGCTCAGTTAGTGTATCATGAGCAGGTTAGTAACAAGCTCAAACATGGGAAAGAAAGTTTGGAATGGTATGTTGCTAAACCATTTTCCCTCTAGTACAGAAAGACAGAAATGTGAAGGAAGCTGGTGTCTAAAGAGCAAGTGATAATCTGAGATCCAAAGTAGAATTATGTTATGAAGTACAATTCACTCAAACTAACAACAGCATTAAGTCTTAATTTATTAGGAATTTATCATCCACAGGGAAACACATAGAACTGAAAAACTCCCTATTACTTCAGAAGCATTACACTCAAAACAAACCTCAACTCCGAATTCAAACTTGCAGAGGGAATTAGAAAATATTACAATCATGCTTTCAAATGTGATTTCATGCTACAAGATGAATCAAAATCCCATGAATCTGGCCTAAAAAGAAGCAGGAGAGGGAGGAAGCCATTTCAGAAGCACCCCTTCTGCTTTTTAAGAGCTGTTACCAAAACTTTCTACGCACTGTACGAGACCACACATGTAGCTCTTACGAAGAAAGATAACTACCTTCCCTACCCTCTCTCAAACCTGGGATACATAGCTACAAATGCCATTGATTCACTACCAAACAAAAATTTATCAAATACAGTTTTTTTTAAATGTGACAGTTACCTAATGCAAATATTATACAGTGGAAATGCGCTGCATACACATATAGTATTGCAAACCCTTTAATTCCCTAAAAGAAATGAATACTCAACAATTCCAAGACTATCTCTACTGTGTAATAAACCTCTCCATTAAATTTTCAAAATACATTCTTATAACGCAAATACACCAACACTAGAATTCAGAGAGTACCGAGCGGACAGGCTTATTTTATGACAGGAGCATATATACTCAGCTTATGTCCTGCTAGAGTGAACTCAAGCTTTCCTCTCTTCTCTTGCTGCTTCTCCTACCCACCCACCCCCCCACCCCCCCCCCGCCCCGCAAAAGAATCCCCTTTCCTTTTCCTAGACCCACTTCCCACACAGGGCAGAAACCTCCTCCCTATGCAGTGATGACCTCATGCAGCTAAACCCATCTCCTTGTATGGAGCAGCTCCGGGCTTGCGGCCAGCTTCCTCCGCCTTCGGGCTGACACTCAGCATATCTCCCTTCACCCACCGCCCACAGCACCCCGAGAAGCGGCGGGGAGAGCCGGACAGGAAGGGGGGGTCTCTGCATGGACAAAGGACTGACGCCACGCGCCTGGCCCAAAGCACCCCAAGCCGCGGCGAAATAGCATAGAACTACCTCACATCATCCGCTCCTCTCCACTGAACTATGAACACTTCCAAGCATGGAAATAAATCTTATGTTACCTAACTGCATTGCAGCCCCACTCAGCTGGATCTTGCTTCCCTGTGTTAAATCTGAGAGTGAGGCACACGTAGCAAAGGCTTTTCTCATCTTCCTTTGTGTCACCGTACCCTTAAAATCCTCCTGCCCCTTCTTCAGCCTGTCTCGTTTTCTCAGAAGATTTCTACATAACCACTTTACACACTGGCAATACAAACCAACTGGAGAAGTGCCCTCCTTTGAAAGGCTCAGTTGTGACTCAGTTATAGTTGCAAGGAACCTGGTGATGGATAACATAGCTTTTGCTCAGTTAATAAGTAACCTTGCTCTTCTCCTTCGAAGAAATATCCCCAAAGCCCAACTCTTCTGGGGTTAACATTCCACACATGTATATTTTAAAACTATAACAATGTACTGACAATTTGCTTCAACACATTAAAAAAGAATTTATAAAAGGAGAGAAAACACATTTGTCTCACCAATTATAATCACTACAGTACCTCAACCTGTACCTCCATCATTTCCAATCTGCTTTCACTGTGCGCACATTAGAAGTATGAACATCCCACCTCTTTGAGTCTCCCAAGGACTAATGCATTCAGGTAGTAAACTGTATCAGTCATCTCTTTATTACATATTATTCAGGAGATACAATTATCTTAAAATAATACCTGGTAAACTCTTTTGGTCAAAAGCCTTCAGAAGTCACCCAGATTTTTTTTACACAGGAACTTGTTATAAGAAGCTGTACTGAGATACAGTAGAGCATCAGTCTCTTTGTGAAGGTTTGTTACAAAGCAGGAAAAGTCACATCCACGTGTGGAAACTGCTGCTTTCTCACAAATAGAAAAAGAGTCAGCCTGTTTAAAAGTGCAATAAAACCCTGCGTATTCACATATGATGTGTCTCTTCCAAGGGTGTATGCTCATGTAAATTCAAACAAACCAGAAACATACTCCAAGGTGAAAAGGAGTGTTTCACAGCCTTCTGTGTATTTCGACCTCAAACACTAGATATTTGAGCATTTAGGACCATCACAGAGACCAAACCCAGAAACATACACACCATAAAAACGCAAGTAAAAAAAACCTGGGCAGCAGCACTGAGAAGGTACTATCTACGTCGGCCTTACATCTAACGCCTAAGTTCAGAAACTCCCCAAGCTGTACACTGCGGGGCATCCAAAGCCTGGGGCACTGCGCTTATTTGGGAGGTGGGCACATATCACAGTTCCAAGCGGTGGCTGGCGCGTCCTTCCGTTATGCGCGGCAGTCTCAGCCCGTAGCACAGGACAGGAGCGGACATGCCGGGTCCCCACAGCCGGAGACAGATGTTGCAGGAACTGGCCCGGGCCAGCCCCATCCTCCCTTCGGCCCAACCCGCGCAGGGCCTCGCGGCCCCGGCCCGGCGGCAGCCCGGGGGGCGCGGATGGGCACCCGCCGCGCTGAGGGCCCCGCTGGGGCGGAGCCGCCCCCGGGCAACAGGCGGCACAGCCGCCGCTTGTCCGCACCACCGTCGAGCGAGGACATCAAATGCTACCGCCGCCACCCCCTCAGAGGGAAGCGTGAGCGGCGCCGCTGCCAGCTCAGCCCGCAGGTAAATCCCCGCACAGGGCCTGCCTACCCGCCCCCTGCACCGGCTGCCTGACGGACGGGCGGGCGGGCGGGCAGGGCACGGCAAGGGGCAGGAGCGGGCTCCCTTCCTGCCCGACCACTGCTCCCGGGGCCAGACAGCAGCGGCGGCGGCGCCACCGCGCTCCCGTACAATACCTTCCTACCTGACAAGCCGGACCCCCTCCGCCGCCGCGGGCGTCACGGCCCTACCAGAGCCGCGTGACCGCCGCAGACCAATCAGCACCACGCTGCCCCTCTCCCTAACAGCCAATCAGGGAGCTCCCCGCCTTCTGGTGACGCACTGCACTCGGAGACCAATCAGCGGGGAAAGATGCTCCCCGGCTCCCGCCTCCAGGCGCAGAGGCACTACACGATTGGAGGAGAGCTGTGGTGCGCCTCGGGAACTTGGCCTGCCCTTCCACCCCGCTTCCAGCGAGCCGGTTTCCTGGCAACGGCGCAAGTTCCGGGAAGCTCCTCAGGGCCCCGGAAAGAGTGCTGGGACTGGATCCGAGTGTCAGTGTGGTCCTGTGGGAGTAGAATCACAGCTCTGTGGTGCAGTGTACACCAGGCCTGGAGCGCCTGTGTAGTCTGCGTGTTTCCATCCCCACTGCTCCACCGAGCGGACAGAAGGACTTGTGAGTGGGTGTCGGCCAGCTTCAGTGTGGGTTCTCACCTGAAAAACCAGCCATGTGCTGGGCTGTACCAAAATGAACCTGACCAGCAGGTCGAAGGAGGTGATCCTGCCCCTCTACTCTGCTCTCGTGAGACCTCACTTGGAGTATTGTGTACAGTTCTAATGTGCCCAACTTAAGATGGACATGGAACTGTTGTAGCAAGTCCAGAGAACAGCCATGAGGATATCAGAGGGCTGGAGCACCTCCCATATGAAGATAGGCTGAGAAAGCTGGGGCTGTTCAGCCTGGAGAAGGGAAGGCTGCGTGGAGACCTCATAGCAGCCTTCCAGTATCTGAAGGGGGCCTACAAGGATGCTGAGGAGGGACTCCTCGTTAGGGACTGTAGTGGTAGGACAAGGGGTAATGGGTTAAAACTTAAACAGGGGAAGTTCTTTACTGTGAGGATAGTGAGGCACTGGAACAGGTTGCCCAAGGAAGTGGCAATTGCTCGATCCCTGTGAGTGTTCAAGGCCAGGTGAGACAGAGCCTTGGGTGACATGGTTTAGTGTGAGGTGTCCCTCCCCATGGCAGAGGGCTTGGGACTAGACGATCTTAAGGTCCTTTCCAAACCAAACGGTTCTATGAGTCTATGACTAATAGTGTCAAATCCTGAGAAGACACCTCCTGGACACTGCAGCTTACGGGCAAGGAGTCTGATGTTCGGTAACCTCCCAACTCAGTGTCAGGAACAGAATAGAATCAAAAAGAAACAGAAATGAAATTAGGAAGGCAAGAAGAAAACAATAAAAAGTTTTTTTTTTTAAAAGCTACTATTGTTACATTAACTTGACAGGTTTAGGGAAACTTCATGGATATTAAAGTGTTGCATATCATCGTTTGAAATAGTTTATGTTTCAAGTAAATGAACAATTTAATTATGTAGCAATAACAAAGTTTGATACCACGATGTTTTTCATACATGGGAGAACATAAGATTAGAGTTGCAGACAAGCACCCTTTCTCAGTAAGTTGTCAGTCACTGGTATTTCAGAAGGAGTCTAAAAAACAAGACGTGGGTAGAGCAGTCATATTCCAAACCAAGCCTTCTTTCTAGAACAGAGTTTTTAAAAAACACTAGAGAAACTTTGCTGTGTGCAGCTTCCTACCTCTGTTTAAGGCATTTATGCCTTTATCTTCCATAACATTATAACATAAAAAGTTTCCTTTATTTACCTGTTTAGCAAATGAGAAAGAATTAGATTCTTTTATAGTGCATCTATATGCACCTTGAGGCAAGTTGAGACATATGTACAGTTAGAAGCAAGTTTTTATATTACATTTAAGATGTAATTTGCACTTAATTACTTTTCAATAATATTTGGGATAAAAAGGTTCTATTAGATGCAAATAGTGAATTCAGTATAAAAACCATTAATACTAGAGCTTTATGACAAATGCAGGTGAAAACAGCCTGATTCAGTTTTGGTTCAGCTATATTCAAAGATAAACTGTTTTACTGGGCAAATAATTTCTCAGTCTATATGCCTATGTCTTGCATGTAAGACCACATGCCTTTCGTGATTATATCTACAGTTTTGTAATTTAGCCAGCCCTGAGACCCCTGAATCTGATTAAAAGTAGTAGACAATATTATGAGAGTAGAAAAATCTCTCATCATTAGTTTCTTGCTTTGAATTTTTTAAACATTACTGAAGAGCCAGCTTGCCTTCTAAGAAAGAAAGAATTTCCTGTTGTTTTTTGTAGTAAGGTGTTTTTCTCCCAAAGCTTTCAGGTATTTGTTAAGTAAAGATGAAAAGAAGGTAGGTCTATAGTGTAGTCACTGCAGTTAAGTGTAGACATATGCAAACTATTTTGAAAATCAAATTATTAATTTTATTTAGAAAGTGTAATAATGGAATATGAAAAGCTTTAAAATTATATTAGCACTTGCAATTAAGAGACAAATTAATAGCTTTATTTCTAAGAGGCTGCAGATGCTGATCCTCTCTCTTCCCTAGCCTAGTCTTCTGGTTCTGCACACATTCCTCCACTCAGCTCCATATGTGATTTCCTCTGCCACTTTCCTACCTGGCCTGACATAGGTCCCATTTCTAACTCCATAAGCAGACAGGCTAGGTCCTAAAAATATCTGAAAGAGACAAAAAAAAAAAAATCAGGAAAATTATTGTAGTCCTATTTCAGCACATTCTGTCAATCCCTGGATCTACTTTCTTTCATCCTCTCCCCTTTGCTCCTACATTTTAAATCATACACATTAAATCTATAGCTTCATGCTAAACCACAGCTGACCAACATGGGTATTTTAAACCTATGGTTTGGACAAAGGTGACATTGAAGAATTGTTTCAGATCTTAACACAAAATTGCCTCCTGACACTCGGCAAGCACCTTGGCACATGCTGAATTCTGTGGTGCAACAACACCTCAACACCTGCCAAGCTGAGGACTTTGTGGCTCAACTACCTGAAACTATAGCAGCTGTCTAGTAAACATACCTGAAAACTTTTGTTTACTACTCTGGGTCTATCTTCTCTGACATGACTCATCTTCTATAAATTCATCTTCTTTAATCTCATCTGACTTCCCAACTACCAGAGAGTTTTCAGCTTTCTATCATAATTACTATTGCAAACCTAGAAATACCAGAGAATTTGCTCCTTAAACTGGAAAACTCTTGACCTGTTTGTTTAAAATCAAGGCTTCAAGAATCTTTTTGTACTTCTGTTTGCTCCAACTCTTCTGGTGTACTGCCAGCCTATAATTCAGTCAGCACATTTTCATAATTTTGAATGCTTCTTTTCTACCTTTATCTAATTTCTTGTTTATGGCTCATTGCCTCAAATTCGTGGATGTGACATGTAAGTTGTCTGCTTTATGCTGCTGATATGCGTGTTGAAAAACCTTAAAGTTGTTCTCAGAGGATAGATAGTGTAGCATTATGTTACTTCAAGAATTATAACAACTTTAAATTGAATTACATGCCTAGAAGGGAAACATGAATGTAGGAAACAGAGAAAGGGAAAGTTTCTCATTATCACTCCTTCAAAATGATGAAGTAAAATGCAGGTCATTGCAAAATCCAACATAAAAAAATCTCCTGGATATACTAAAGAATTATATTATACACAAGTCAGTAATATAGAGAAGTTATTATAGTGGTATACTCAGAAGATTGCAAAGAGATGTCTGTAAGGGCTAAAAATAATAAATAGAGAGGAAAAAAAAAAAAACCAGTAATCCCAGGGTTTTGACCAACAGTATGGTTCCTTTATCCCCAACAAGGTCATATTAATGCCTTCCTGTTGAGTTAGATTTGCTGTAGTTTCCTGATGAGTTAGGCATGAATATCTCTTTCTAACCTGTTGCACATCTTCAGGAAAAGAAAAATGCAGCTTACCATTTCACTCATTCTTTCCCTATTTACTGTCAGTATTACTGTAAAGAAATACAGTTAGAAGGTTAAGTAATTACACAAACTGCGTACCATAGCACTGGAGCTTTATTGTCAGAAAAAGAATGCTGTTACTACCACTATTGTTAAAATTACTCAGGTCCTTCTGTTACATATCTATATAATAACATCATAAAGCTCCATTATGTTAAAACAATGCAGCAAAGAGCATGTGAGCACAGAGATAAGCAAACAGCTGAACCGTCTTTTCATTTCTGCCATACAGATTCTACTAATGCAAAGGTCTCTTTGCCTCAGTATTTCTATCTGACAAGATCAATACTTTCCTTGAGGGATGTTTGATGATGTAGATTGTTAGTATTTATAAAGCATTTTCAAATTGTTGTATGGAAAAGGTAAAAAAAATGAAAATAATAATAATATGCAGAATAAGGATCTTTTAGTTATTCTATCATTGTTTAATGGAAGTCTAATTTTCATATTTTTTTACAGATTTTCATCATTGCATACTACTTTTCTCTATTTTTCTTCTCCCATCCCCATTTTGTACTTCATATTTTGAATTTCAATGTCTGTTGCTATGACAACACCACAGTCTGACTAGTACTGCCTTCAGACCCCTTTTTAAATCTACATCGTGCTATTTAGAACTATACATTTTATGTTAAAGGTGTCTGGAGATATCCTTAGAATAACCGACAGGGTTTTCCCAATCATAAGCTGTGATGTAGATATGCATTCCTAAATCCTGGTACCTGCCACTGCTTTTCTGTCCCTGTACACATTACTTTGAACAACTGCTTCTCTAGGGCATGGAGACTAAATAGAAGATGGCTTGATATATATGTGTATGTGTATACAAACAGGCAGGCACATGTACATATGCACATACACGTTTGTTTTTCAGCTGTGTGGAAGCTGGAATCTGCTATAGGACTTCTTAGAGAAGTAAGAAAAGCCAGCAAGTTCTGTTTAATTTTAAAATAATGAATTAAAACTTAGCAGAATTTTAGAAAAGAAGATTAGTGTGAGGGTATTTAAGTTGTGGTTTCATTCTTAAAAGGAGATGCTGATCCTTGCTAACGCCCAAATATAAAATACAAGCAGGTAATGGAGGAGCCACTCATAATCCAAAGCCAACAACAAGCATCCAACTCCTTGATAGCTAAGACTATTTAAATTCCTGATAATTTTACTGCCATTA